CCACCTCACAGGGTGTCTGTTGTGGGGAGGGGAAGGGAAAGGAGATTGTAAGCCGCTCTGAGACACCTTTGGGTAGTGAAGGGCGGGGTATAAATCCAATCTCTTCTTCTTCTTCTTCTTCTTCTTCTTCTTCTTCTTCTTCTTCTTCTTCATCATCATCATCATCATCATCATCATCATCATCATCATCATCCGCCTGGTTCCCAAATCACTAAAAACAAAGGGAGAAATTACAAAAGGTGAACTGATATTTCTCACTCTCTTTTTTTTAAAAAAGTAGACAGCTGGGTTTCTTTCTGGCAATATGGACATGCAAGGTAGGATATGAAGAATCGGAACAGATTGCAAAAAAACAAGTGTGGGCCAGGACACAAAATGTTGCAGCTATGGTGAGAGGGTATAGGGCAGGTGCTGTTGCAGTGAAGGAGATGAGGCTCATGCCTTTTCTCTGCCCCATTTCCCTCTTCCCCCAAGCTGCTATTTGACCCACTGGAGAGCATATACAGATAGAAGCCCGTCTCTTTTCCCCAGCAGAGCAAAAATCAGTTTGGCTCAGAGGCTTACCAGGTCCCTTTAATCGGTGGGCAAACTCCTGGGAATTGTTGCTGATGCCTGCTGATCAGGGGTCATTTTGTAGAAAAAGAGGTGCAGGAGCTCATTAGCATAACTTATTTGCATACGCCACACCCCCCTGACATCACCAGAGGTCTGTCAGAAGGCAACACCCACCACTCAGGCTCCACTGGACTGTTTTGGATTGCTAGCTGTTGAGAGGGAGGGGAATGTGCAGATCTGTCCTCGCAGAGGAGGGAGAGCTTGTACCTGAATAAAACTTGGTCTTAAAGGTGCCACTAGACTGTTTTGGACCGGGGAGCTGGGGGGGGGGCTCTGCAGCTTACCTGGCTGCTTCTTGCTCTGACTGAGGGCTGCTGGGAGCAGAGGGTGGGGCTTGTTGCATATGCCCGCCCCATGGGCTCTTTACTGCCAAAGCTCCGCTCCTGTGCGCTCCTGCAGGAAATGACCCCTGCCTCTGACAGAATTATGGCTTGCCCAAGGTCATGCAGCTGCTGCAAGTGGAGGAGTGGGGAATCAAACCTGGTTCTCCCAGATTAGTGTCCAAGTGGAGGGAGGGGAATGTGCAGATCTGTCCTCGCAGAGGAGGGAGTTTGTACCTGAATAAAACTTGGTCTTAAAGGTGCCACTAGACTGTTTTGGACCGGGGGCCTGGGGGGGGGGGCTCTGCAACGTACCTGGCTGCTTCTTACTCTGACTGAGGGCGGCTGAGAGCAGGGGGGGGGGCTTGTTGCATGTGCCCGCCCCTGGGCTCTTTACTGCTGGAGCTCCGCTCCTGTGTGCTCCTGCAGGAAATGACCCCTGCTGCTGATACTCATCTTATCAGTGGGCAGAAACAAGCCAGCAAAATGGCGTTTTTTGGTGCCCAATGATGACATCGGGTGGGGCTTGTTGCATGTGCCCGCCCCCTGGGCTCTTTACTGCTGGAGCTCCGCTCCTGTGTGCTCCTGCAGGAAATGACCCCTGCTGCTGATACTCATCTTATCAGTGGGCAGAAACAAGCCAGCAAAATGGCGTTTTTTGGTGCCCAATGATGACATCACTTCCAGTGCTACCAAGAAGCACAGGCATCACACTGGGGTGACCCTCTAGCATTGCCCAGAAACTCCATAGAGATTTGGGTCGCGTGCTAGAGTGTTGCCCCAGTGCGATACCAGCACTTCTGGGTCACACAGGAAGTGACATCATCATTTGGTCCCAAAGATCACCACCCCCTGCACAGTAAGTCCCGCCTCCTCCCATCTCCTGCTGGTTGCCAGGCCAATAGCTCTGTGTGAGTGAGGGCTGATTATTACAGGGGGTGGGTTACCCTGTCGGTGGAGTGAGAGAGAGCGCCTAAGGTGTGAGATGGCCATGATGACTATCCATAGATTTTAAAAGAGGCGAGAAGGGTAGCTTGTGACGTCCTGACCTATATATAACCCATATCCTGAAGTAGTGAGGCTTGCGGGGAGGGCGGGGTAAAAATACCTAAATAAAAATAAGTAGAGGGTGGGAGGCACTCTGTGTGAATGGACAAGGGGCGTCACAGGAGCATTGAGCCATCCGAGCCCCCCACCTGCAGCATGAAATGTACAGACACAGTTTTATCAAATGTCCTAGCAGAATTGGCACAAGTCAAAATGAATGTCCATACAGGATACTAGCTACTACTAGCCATGGTGACTGAGGGGAACCTCCACATTCCTCTGAATTCCAGAGCCAGGAGGCAACATTTTCTAATCTATGTATGATAAATATTGATATAGTTGAGGCTCTGAATTCAGTTCAGTCCACTTCTTAATGATTTAAAGTATGAAATGAAGAAATGGCATTTTTCACATTCATTCATCTCAGTAGTATGGAACAGTGCAAAAGCCACCTCTGCAGGACTGGATCGAGGGTCTACTTAGCCCTGCATCTTGTTTCTAACAGGGGACAGCCATTTTTATAAAGCAGGACACGAAAGCAACAGCTGGCTCCTGTTGCCACCAACACTTGACATTTAGAGATATGCTGCCACTGAACATGGAGGCTCTATTTTGCTACCCTGGAGTACAAGTTAAAAAAGGTAAATGGGGTGATAAAATAATTGGGACTGTATAAGCCTCCCCAAACTGGCTCCTGTTGCCACCAACACTTGACATTTAGAGATATGCTGCCACTGAACATGGAGGCTCCATTTTGCTACCCTGGCGTACAAGTTAAAAAAGGTAAATGGGGTGGATAAAATAATTGGGACTGGGTAAGCCTCCCCAATTGTATCTGAAACTGAAGTCACAGGATTCTACCATTCCTCTGGCACCAGAGGAAAGTAAGATCCAGCCCCATGGTTAATTTTTAAAACGTCACTATTGATCCATTTGCATTTGTCAAAGTCTAGCAGCCTCCCCTTCCACCCGGCACCATTCCTTGCTAGGTTCATTTTACACCCTGGGGACAAAATTAATCTGAATTAATTCACTGCAATTTTTCCCGGCGCAGCTCCGTCTCTTGCTCTGAAACCCAATTAGCACAGAACAATTGTGAATTATTCAGCTGTTTTATAAGAAGCGCCCACGTAGGTGCAACCCCGCCGAGGAAAAGATCCCCTTTCAGAGACCCACACGATCGATGGAGCCTTAAATAAGTGGTGGTGGTGGTGGTGGTGGGTTTTTTTGCAATGCTGACCAGACTGCTATTTTTACAGACAGGCTTTTTCCAGGCAAGCACAGGAGTTGGCCAGGCCTCTTCTGCGGATGGATGGTTCCCTCGTGCATCCATCGGGGAAGCGAATCAATTTGTTAAGTGACCAGGAGCCCGGAGAGATATGGGACTACGACGGCCTAACGAGTCACCAGTCGTAAATAATATACATTTTTTAAAATGGCATTTTGCTCTGCAAAATACGAAGCATTGTGTTTTAACAAAGCATCCATCTTCTGTAAATGATATGTCCTCCAACTGATACCTTTTAAAAATTTCCTAACAAAAGGCTACCTTGACTTGGATGGCCTGGTCTCATCAGAAGCTCAGCAGGGTCGGCCCCGGTTAGTACTTGGACGGGAGACCACCAAGGAAGTCCGAGGTTGCTATGCAGAGGTTGTTGTTGTTCAGTCGCACGGTCGAGTCCGACTCTTCGCGACCCCATGGGCCCCATCACGGCAGGCCCTCCTGTCTTCCGTCATCCTACAGAGTCTGCTCAATTTCATGTTCGTTGCTTTGATGGGCTCTTTTTGTAGCAGGAACTCCTTTGCATATTAGGCCACACACCCCTAAAGTAGCCAATCCTCCAAGAGCTTACAGAGCTCTTCTTACAGGAGCTACTGTAAACTCTAGGATGATTGGCTACATTAGGGCTGTGTCACTTAATATGCAAATGAGTACCTGCTACAAAAAGAGCCCTTTGCCATCCCCTTCTTTTACCCTCAATCTTACATAAGAACATAAGAGATGCCAATGTTGGATCAGGCCAAAGGCCCATCCAGTCCAACACTCTGTATCACACAGTGGCCAGAAATACCAGGTGCCATCAGGAGGTCCACCAGTGGGGCCAGGACATTAGAAGCCTTGCTTTCCCAGCATCAGGGTCTTCTCCAGTGAGTGCTCCCTTCTCATTTGGCGGACAAAGCATTTGAGCTTCAGCTTCAGTATCTGGCTTTCCAGGGAACAGTCAGGGTTGATTTCTTTTAGGATTGACTGATTTGATCTCCTTGCAGTCCAAGGGACTCTCAAGAGTCTTCTCCAGCACCATGATTCGAAAGAGTCTATTCTTCGGCTCTCGGCCTTCCTCATAGTCCAACTCTCGCAGCCATACATGACTACTGGGAATACCATTGCTTTGACCATGCGGACTTTTGTTGGCAGGGTGATGTCTCTACTTTTTATTATGCTGTTTAGGTTCGCCATCGCTTTCCTCCCAAGGAGCAGGCGTCTTTTCATTTCATGGCTGTTGTCACCGTCTGTGGTGATCTGGGATCCCAGGAACGTGAAGTCTGTCACTGCTTCCAGAGGTAGGCAATGGCAAACCACTTCCGCTCATCTTTTGCCTTGAAAGCCCTATGGGGTCACCAGGCTAGCTCAATCTTGTCAGATTTTCGGTGCTATGTAGGATGAGCTCTGATCAGTATTTCGATGGGAGACCACCAAGGAGGACCAGAGGCAGGCAGGCAGGCAGGCGATGGCAAACCACCTCTGGTTGTCTCTTTGCCTTGGGCTATACCAATAGTCTGAGAAAGGGATGGGTTTCACAAGACCCAAGTTTAAGTCCAGCCCTCCTGGGCTGTGGGCTTATACTTATGGCTTCAAGAAAGATGACTTAAAAGCTATGGTTTGGCTCCGATATATGTTCACAGGACTGCTTGCAAGAGTAGTGCGATGCTGGAGAAGTTTACTTGTGGGAAAATGCAGGGGAATGGCCCTGCTTACGGAACCAGATACATTTCCATGAACAAGTTTCTCCAGTGCACATGTAAAAGCCCAGTATTAGTAGCTGTAACCTGCAGGGATATAGTGCCAAGACCCCAAGTCTTTCCAGTGTACTAGAATTTCCCTTTCTTTGAACAACAGGCCTCATTTCAAGTAACGCAAACAAAAGAAGATGGAGCAGGTCTATTCTCTCTTGCTCCGGATTGCAAGACTAGATCTAATGGGTGGAAATTACAAAGGAGTTAACAGTTATAAGCTGAAGTGGAATGTATAAGAAACAGTAAACTTATATGGCCGAAGAAAAATATTGTTACAAAGTGACATGCCCAGATCCCTGTCAGTAAGAGGGAAAAGTGTGTGAAATATCAAATAAATCTACTTTTATTTAAGATACCAGTTATAAAAGAAATTCTTCCCAGGAAACACATAGACCCTCGTGAACGCCTAAAACCCTCGACATACCTACCCAGAAATAGAGAAAGCATAAAGGTTTGGAAATCCTTTTAAAATTTCCTGGTGGCAGCCGGATATATAGAGTAAAAACAAAACAGAAAGAACATTTTAAAGTAAACCCAGACCTCCCCAGTTAAGGGGTCGTCACAGGTCCATTCTAGGTCAACAGTGTCTATTTGGGGGTCCCAAGCAGAGATCCCTTGCAGCTCTGCTACCTTTCACCTGGAGGATGCTGGGAAACAAACTTGGGACGTTGCTCTGGAGATCCAACAACAAAGCATAGAGCTTGAGGCCTTCCCCCGATGTTGCCCCCCGGCTCTGGGATTTAGAGGTTTAGTGCCTCTGAATTTGGAGGTTCCCCTCAGTCACCATGTCTAGTAGCCACTGACAGACCTATCTCCCATGAATCTATCCAGCCCCCCTTTTAAAGCCATCTATGCCTGTGGCCATCACTACATCCTCTGGCAGCAAATTCCACATTCTGATCATCCATTGTGTAAAGAAAGATCTCCTTTTGTCCATCCGGAACCTACTGCCCATCCGCTTTCTTGGATGCCCTTGAGTTTTAAGTATATTGGGAGGAACAGACTAAGTAATGTTAAAAGGTTCTGTTAGGACAATGACTGGTGTTTTGTGGGGATACTACGTGACCGTATAGATCGTCCTATGGAAGAGCCTTTCATGAGAATCAAAGGGACATGCTTCAGACGAAGCCCATTGAAGAGTGGTGTGTTCGAAGAAGTCAGCAAGTCTGAGACAGGAGGGGTTACAGAGTTCCCGAAAAGGATCTTAAAAGTCAAATCAACCACTAAGATTTTAACAAACACACAGTATCTCGCCTTTCCCTCCTTCTTTGTTAGGAGCCCAGAATACAGAGTAATTTGAACAAACCCCAGCTGGTTGGTCTCCAGTGTATGGGAAGTTGCCCCCAGAACTGGTACTTTCCCCATAATGAACATCATGATCTCCGACCGCTGGTAATCTGGGAGGTTGCTTCCAAAGAACCCTGAATGAATAAAAGAAAAAGAAAAATTGTGCAAAGAATAAGTGTCAGAGAACAATGCTTGGGTCATTTCACTATCATGAGTGGCTTCGTGTCTATTACTATTGGACACCCCATCACCAACGGCCCTCAGTGCCCTCAGTACTAGACGGTATTTGGGGTGAAAGCAGTCCAAAACTCCAGCATGCCCTATTTTGGTTTCAGGGGCTAGGACAGAAGGCAGGTGTCCATATGCAATGAACTTCTGTACCTCCGATACCCAAAGAACATCAGAAGAGCCCTGCAGGGTAAGACCAGCGGTCCATCTAGTCCAGCATCCTGTCTCACACTGTGGCCAGCCAGTTCCTCTGGAGGGCCAACAACAGGGCACAGAGGCTGAGGCCTTCATTGGAACATCAGAAGAGCCCTGCTGGATCAGACCAGTGGTCCACCTAGTCCAGCATCCTGTCTCACACTGTGGCCAGCCAGTTCCTCTGGAGGGCCAACAAGAGGGCACAGAGGCCGAGGCCTTCACTGGAACATCAGAAGAGCCCTGCTGGATCAGACCAGCGGTTTACTTAGTCCATCATCCTGTCTCACACTGTGGCCAGCCAGTTCCTCTGGAGGGCCAACAACAGGGCATAGAGGACGAGGCCTTCATAAGAACGTATGAAGAGCCCTGCCGGATCAGAACAATGGTCCATCTAGTCCTGCATCCTGTCTCACACAGTGGCCAGCCAGTTCCTCTGGAGGGCCAACAACAGGGCACAGAGGCCGAGGACTTCATTGGAACATCAGAAGAGCCCCGCTGGATCAGACCAGTGGTCCATCTAGCACAGCATCCCGTCTCACACAGTGGCCAACCAGTTCCTCTGGAGGGCCAACAGCAGGGCATAGAGGCCGAGGCCTTCCCCTGATGTTGCCTCCTGGCTCTGGGATTCAGAGGCTTAGTGTTTCTGAACGTGGAGGTTCCCCTCAGTCACCTTGGCTAGTAGCCAGTGATAGGCTGATCCTCCACAAACCCATCTAATCCCCTTTTAAAGCTGTCTATTCCCATGGCCGCCACTGCATCTTCTGGTAGTGAATCCCACATTTTAATCACTCTCTGTGTAAAGTAGCATTTCCTTTGGTCCACCCTGAACCTACTGCCCATCGGCTTCATTGGATGCTCTCGAGTTCTAGAATTTTGAGAGAGGGAGAAAGTTTTCTCTTTGTCACTTCTCTACAACTCATGCATAATGTTAAAAACCTCTGTCATGTCCCCCCCCCCCTTAGTCATCTCCTTTCTAGACTGAAAAGTCCCAGACTCTTTGTCCTTTCCTCATAGGGAAGGTGCTCCAGCACTCCTCTGTACTTCCCCCCCATTCCTTCTTAAAATCACTCACCAATGGTTTGGATGATAGCATTCTGGACGATCCGCTCGTCGTTGTCCTTGGCGCTTGTGCTAAAGCAGGCGCTGCTCAACGAGCTGCGCCGGTCACTTAATTCAAAGTCGACGCTGAAACGGAGATGCTTCAGTAAGGTGTTGAATACCTCCAAGACGGTTGGGCCTGCAGGGAAACCAAAAACCAGTGACTGTGACTTTTTGGAAGTTTGAGCTCGATCAGAGGCGGTGGACAGGTGAAAGAAGTGTCCCATCGTAAGGATCAAAGGAGGAACCAATCTTCTAAGGAGATGGAGCCAGTGTAGTGTAGTGAGCAGAGCGACAGACTAGGATCAGAGCCAGCTAGGTGTCGTGGTTAAGAGTGGCAGGACTCTAATCTGTAGAACCGGGTTTGATTCCCCACTCCTCCACATGAAGCCTGTCACCAGTTCTCTCAGAGCTCACTCAGCCCCGCCTACTTCACATTGTGTGAGGAAGGGAAGGCGATTGTAAGCCACTCTGAGACGCCTTCGGGCACTGAAAAGTGGGTATAAAACCCAACTCTTCTTCTTAAGTGTCATCAACTGATTTACAGCAACCCTCTTGTTAACAGCCTCGCCCAGGTCTTGTAAACTGAGGGCCCCCGTGGCTTCCTTGATTGGGTCCATCCCTCTCTCCTGCTGCCTTACACTTTCCCTAGCATTATTGTCATTTCTCATAATGTGACCAAAGTACGATAGCCTCACTTTAGTCATTTTAGTGTCTAGAGAGAGTTCAGACTTGATTTGATGTGGAACCCACTTATTGAATGAGCCAGGTCAGTGTGAGAGCCAGTCTGGTGTAGAAGTTAAGAACGGCAGGACTCTAAGCTGGAGAACCGGGTTCGATTCACCACTCCTCCACATGCAGCCAGCTGGGTGACCTTGGGCCAGTCACGGTTCTCTCAGAGCTTTTCTCTAAGGAGCCGTTTCTGTCAAGAGCTCCCTCAGCCCCACCTACCTCACAGGGTGTCTGTTGCGGGGAGGGGAAGGGAAAGGAGATTGTAAGGCACTCTGAGACTCCTTCAGGTAGTGAAGGGCAGGGTATAAATCCAATCTCTTCTTCTTCTTTTACCTCACAGGGTGTCTGTTGCGGGGAGGGGAAGGGAAAGGAGATTGTAAGGCACTCTGAGACTCCTTCAGGTAGTGAAGGGCAGGGTATAAATCCAATCTCTTCTTCTTCTTTTACCTCACAGGGTGTCTGTTGCGGGGAGGGGAAGGGAAAGGAGATTGTAAGGCACTCTGAGACTCCTTCAGGTAGTGAAGGGCAGGGTATAAATCCAATCTCTTCTTCTTCTTTTACCTCACAGGGTGTCTGTTGCGGGGAGGGGAAGGGAAAGGAGATTGTAAGGCACTCTGAGACTCCTTCAGGTAGTGAAGGGCAGGGTATAAATCCAATCTCTTCTTCTTCTTTTACCTCACAGGGTGTCTGTTGCGGGGAGGGGAAGGGAAAGGAGATTGTAAGGCACTCTGAGACTCCTTCAGGTAGTGAAGGGCAGGGTATAAATCCAATCTCTTCTTCTTCTTTTACCTCACAGGGTGTCTGTTGCGGGGAGGGGAAGGGAAAGGAGATTGTAAGGCACTCTGAGACTCCTTCAGGTAGTGAAGGGCAGGGTATAAATCCAATCTCTTCTTCTTCTTTTACCTCACAGGGTGTCTGTTGCGGGGAGGGGAAGGGAAAGGAGATTGTAAGGCACTCTGAGACTCCTTCAGGTAGTGAAGGGCAGGGTATAAATCCAATCTCTTCTTCTTCTTTTACCTCACAGGGTGTCTGTTGCGGGGAGGGGAAGGGAAAGGAGATTGTAAGGCACTCTGAGACTCCTTCAGGTAGTGAAGGGCAGGGTATAAATCCAATCTCTTCTTCTTCATCATCCGATGCAGCCATTTTTCTTCTGGACATCAGTTGTCATTCCAGGAGATCTCCAGGCCCCACTTGGAGGATGGCAACCCTAGGCATGAGCAGACCATAGGAAACCGGTTCCAGGATACTGCTGGATTAGGGATGCCAATCCCCAGGTGGCAGCTGGAGATCTCCCGCTATTACAGCTGATCTCCAGGCAACGGAGATCAGTTCACCTGGAGAGAATGGCCACTTTGGAAGGTGGGCTTCCATGGCATTATGCCCCATTGAAGTCCCTCCCCTCCCCAAACCCCACCTTCCTCAGGCTCCACCCACAAAATACCCAGGCATTTCCCAACCCAGAGCCGACAGCCCTATGCTAGAATGTAGCTTCATTCACACCCCAGGGTTGCCGCTTTAGAAGAAGAAGAAGAAGAAGAAGAAGAAGAAGAAGAAGAAGAAGAAGAAGAAGAAGAAGAAGAAGAAGAAGAAGAAGAAGAAGAAGAAGAAGAGATTGGATTTATACCCCGCCCTTCACTTGGAGTCTCAGAGCGGCTTACAAACTCCTCTCCCTTCCCCTCCCCACAACAGACACCCTGTGAGGTAGGTGGGGCTGAGAGAACTCTGACACAAACTGCTCTTTTTCAAGGACAGCTGTGCCAGAGCTTGTGACTGACCCAAGGTCACATCAGCAGGTGCAAGCGGAGGAGTGGGGAATCAAACCCGGTTCTCCCAGGTTAGAGTCCGCACACTTAACCACTACACCAAATTAGCCAATCAGGTTTATGGTGGGTTGCCACTGTTAAAGAACGGAAGCATCTTTCTTCCGTTTTCTAAAAAAGCTATCCTCAGATATTCTTTGCTTTCTGCTATCAGCGTTGCTCTTCATCTTTTGCCTTTCCCTAATGGAGGCCTCCCCTTGCAACTTCGTATTTCTGTTGGGACTTCCAAAGCCAGGAGACAGTTTTCTGCGAAACAGCAGCCCCAGCAGATCTCGCCCCCACCGCCCGCCGCCAGTCTCTGACGTGTATGCACGGCTCTTGGCTCCGTCTCCCTGCCATCTATTTCCTGTTTTGTAATGAGCCATTTATCATCCAGTCCTGCCGCTATAGCTTCAAGGATTTCTGGACTTAATACACCCCCCCCCCCCCGAAACAACATCTTTTTCGATGTTTACTAGCTCAGCATTCTGTTGGGGCTTTCAATGAGGGATGTGAAAAAACCTAGCAGTGTTTTTTTCTCTCTCTCTGCGCCTGTTTCCACCTTCCCGGCAACTGGCATAATACGCGCCGGATAATTTTTGCAGCTCCTGCATTGTTCTCTGTGGCTCTCCGAAGCGTGACCAGCTATTGCGCAGGTGCTGAGCAAAGCTCCCTGCTCATTATTTGGATTCTCTAGGGAGCACCAACGAACTATTGCACTCCATTTCATCTGGGTAGCCATGTTAGTCTGTAGGAGTAGAAGAACATTCGAGTCCAATAGCATTTTAAAAAACAACGCTTTCCAGGGTATAAACGTTGGTTGTAGTGGTTTGGTGTAGTGGTTAAGAGTGCAGACTCTAAACTGGGAGAACCGGGTTTGATTCCCCACTCCTCCACATGCAGCTGGTGGTATGACCTTGGGTCAGTTACAAGTTCTTTCAGAGCTGTTCTCTCAAGGGCAGTTCTCGAGAGAGCTCTCTCAGCCCCACCTACCTCACAGGGTGTCTGCTGTCGGGAGGGGAAGGGAAAGGAGATTGTAAGCCACTCTGAGGCTCCTTCAGGCAGTGAAGGGCGGGGTATAAATCCAATCTCCTCCTCCTCTTCTACTGACCCATGGCCCCTTGCCTGGATCTCCCAGATCTTAGTCCAGTACTCTAACCAGTACACCTTGCTGCCTCTCCGATTTGATTTTACACCTGAACAGGAAAGGCAACAGATGAAAGAGAAATGGAAACATATACCAACCCAGCAGTTGTTATTGAAAAACGCTGCTTTTCAGAGTCTTTACTTTCACGATGCTCACCTATAGACCCTTTGGCTGCAATAGCAACAGCTTGTAAAAGGGCTTGAATGATGCCTGCTCGGACCCGTGGGAAATCCCTTCTGCGAGCGTCCAGGTGTGCCAGGATTTCCTGTATCACATGATGAGAATACTGCGCCTATGAATTAAAAGACGATCTTAAGTTAAATAAATATGTTACATTTGCATGACGCCCAAGAGGCCTCTTCTCATTTGCAAGTCGAAGATCTACTCCCGTTCTACCAATTAATCAATGGGCCTTTTTGGCTATTTGCAACCCGTTTGTGTGTATTTGCAGGTACCTGAAACCATCAGAAACATATGAGAATGGTGTTCTGAAGCTGGGGTGCCACAACAGAGAAGACTCTGTCTCTGAGACTTCACTGTCATTGGGGCCAAAAGGTTTCCTTGCCTCCTCAAAGCAAGTAGAGGAAACACCAATGCAGGAATTCAAGAGAACTGGCTCCTTCTGGTAACCTTTTTGGCTGCTGGGGAACATCAGAAGATCCCTGCTGGATCAGACCAGTGGTCCATCTGGTCCAGCATCCTGTCTCACACAGTGGCCAACCAGCTCCTTTGGAGAGCCAACAACAGTGAAAGCCAAGGCTTTCCTTAGAACGTAAGAAGATCCCTGCTGGATCAGACCAGTGGTCCCATCCAATCCAGCATCCTGTCTTACACTGTGGCCAACCAGTTCCTCTGGAGGGCCAACAGCAGGGCATAGAGACCTAGGCCTTCCGTTGAAGTTACCTCCTGGCTCTGGGATTCAGAGGCTTAGTGCCTGTGAAGGCGGAGGTTCCCCTCAGTCACCATGGCTGGTCGCCATTAACAGATTCATGGAGGATAAGTCTATCTCATCTCCTTTTAAAGCTGTTTATTTCTGTGGCCATAACTCCACCCTCTGGCAGCCAATTCCATATTTTAATCACTCCCTGCGTAAAGCCGTATTTCCTTTTGTCCATCCTGAACCTACTGGCCACCATTCAGAGGAAGTTCATGAGGACGATGTACCCTTCCTTCCCACGTGTGAAGAGAGACCACTTGGTGTAGTGGTTTGAATATTTTACTGTGACAAGTTCAAATCCCTGCTCCACCAGCAAGTTCAGTTAATGACTTTAGACCAGTCACCACTCCCGGCCTAACCTACCAGAGGGGGTGTGGCTCAGAGTCAGAACATCGGCTTGGCATGCAGAAGGTCCCAGGTTCAATCCCCGGGCTCTCCAGTTAAAACAACTGAGTAGGAGGTGATGTGAAAGCCCTCCGCCCGAGACCCTGGAGAGCTGCTGCCAGTCTGAGTAGACCAGGGGTGGCCAAACTGCAGTTCGGGAGCCACATGCGGCTCTTTCACACAGTCTAAGGTAAAGGTAAAGGTTCCCTTGCTCGAAAGTCAGTCGAATCCGATTCAAGGGTTGCGGTGCTCATCTCCATTTCAAAGCCGAAGAGCCAGCGCTGTCCGAAGACGTTTCCGTGGTCATGTGGCTGGCATGACTAGACACCAAGGCGCACGGAACGCTGTTACCTTCCCACCGAAGTGGTCCCTATTTATCTACTTGCAATTTCTTGCTTTCGAACTGCTAGGTTGGCAGGAGCTGGAACTAGAGATGGGAGCTCACTCCGTCATGCGGCACCCGGGTCTCGAACTGCTGACCCACCGACCTTCCACAGCCTGCAGTTCAGCGTCTTAACCACTTGAGCCACCGCAGCTCCTTCACACAGTCTACTTTAATGTTAATAAGAAGCAAATTTGCATATTTCCCAATAAAAAAATGTGTTTGTGATATTTGTTCATGTCTTGGGGCTCTCAAACATCTGACGTTTACTCTGTGTGGCTCTTACGTTAAGCAAGTTTGGCCACCCCTGGAGTAGACAATACTGATGTTAGTAGACCAAGGGTCTGATTCAGTATAAGGCAGCTTCATGTGTATACCTCAAAGTGTTGTTGCGAGGATAAAACAGAGCGAGGGGACAATGTACACCACTGTGGGCTCCTTGAAGAATGGGTGGGATAAAAATCCTAATAAATAAATCCATTTATACTAATTAAAGGATATGTCTGCCCATTCACCTCCCCTCTGGTAGCAGGCATAACTCCTCCAAAAATTAACCTGGGCCGCCACCTTCAGCATGATTGTGGGAGCTGCAGTGGAAAACATTAAGGGAATCAGAACATGTTGGCCCACATTATCTCCAGAACACCCCCCCCCCGCCATGCTATTGTTAACAGAAGCGAAGGGACTCTGTTTGTGGCACTCATCAGAAGCAGTGCTCCCTCTAAGCTGTGGAGTCTTGTGAGCAAAAACTGTGAGCTACTGGCCTTAATGTTGTGAGTGAGTGATTTGGCTACTGCATAAATTAGCTTGCTCTGAAGCCCTCCTTCCTGAGCCAAAACAAAAATGTGTGAGCTGCAGGCTAAAAAATGGTGAGCTAGCTCACACTAACTCAGCTTAGAGGGAACACTGATCATCAGAAGATAAAGCCAGGTTTCTGGAAATTGGGCTGCCAGTTTCAGCATGATCATGGGATCCAGGTTCGAATCCCCACACTTCGATGGAAAGTTGCCTAGCAACCTTGGACCAGAAAATCTCTCTTGGCCTAACCTACCCCACAGGGTTGTTGTGATAATAAAACAGCAGGTGTAACTAATCAGGAAGTATGTCAGCACTAGGAGCGACGGGGTTAGCGAGCAGAAAGAGCAGGCTGGACTTCAAGTAAATAATGCACACAGAGGGGCTAACTAAAGTACGCTGGGCTCACGCTCTTTAGGGTTTGAAAGAGTAAAAAACACTGAAGTCTTTTTTTTTTTAAGCCCCCGGAGGGGATTTTTTATTATTTTTTATAAGACTACAAAACTGAAGTCTTGATTTGCACCACAAAAGCTCCATCTCAGCCAACGCAAATGCTTCATCATGTGCGATGCGCTTGTGGCATATGCCTCAGCAGTGGGTTTTGTTTTGTTTTTTTTTAAAAAAAAGAGGCGCCAGAACCAATGTTCCCTCTAAGCTGCGGAATCTTCCCTCTAAGCTGCGGAATCTTGTGAGCAAAAATTCTACCTTGTGAGCTCCTGGCATTAAAGTTGCGAGCCAGCGATTTAGCTACTGAATAAATTAGTTTGCTCTGGAGCCATCCTTCCTGACCTAAGAGAAAAATCTGTGAGCCAGAGGCTAAAAAACTGTGAGCTAGCTCACAGTAACTCAGCTTAGAGGGAAAACTGGCCAGAACTCCCAAGAGGGAAATGAAGTTTTCAATCTGTACCCTGAAAACTCATGAACCATTTTTAAAAAGAATTTTGTCCGGCATGTTCCCCCAGAAAAAAAGCCCTGCGTCCCAGTTACGACACGGCCTGCTGCCTTTCACATCAGCTGCGATTTCTGAACCCTTCTCAAGGGCAACCCTCTCCGCTGCGCCTTCAGACACTGTAGTTATATATAGACTTGAGTCAATTGATTTGGGGGAGAAATGGGGTGAGCCGAGCACCTAAGAGAGTCAGTCTGCCGTTAAGCAGCTGTTGAAAGCCGAAAGTATTGATCTGATGGGGGCAGCTAAACTCTTCTCGGATACCCCCTGAGCGAAATGTCTACTGGCCTCCTCAGGAGGCAGGAATCACCTGAGAGAATAGAGCAGAGCAACGGCAGGCTACAGAGCTTCATGTCTGGGTTTTTCCCCACAAGGGGATGGAACCTGGGAGACATTTACTGCCGTCTGTTCTTTAAATGAGGATTGAACAGAGAAGTGAATAATTTTGCTGTTTTCTTTTTTTAAAAAAACTGCAAAAGCAGAAATCAGAACATACCTGTATAGAATACATGATGATTTTGAAGCAGGAGACAGCAAATTCATTGGGATCCCAGAGTCTATGTTGGTCTAGATGCCTAATAAAAAAAAATTAAAAATTAAAAATTCAGTGCATAGAGATTTCCCCCAAGGCCTTCTTTTGTAATTATTGCAATTATTCTTGGAACAGTGAGGGGATGGAACCTGGGAGACATTTACTGCTGTCTGTTCTTTAAATGAGGATTGTGAATAATTTTGCTGTTTTCTTTTTTAAAAAACTGCAAAAGCAGAAATCTGGCCCATCCAGTCCAACACTCTGTGTCACACAGTGGCCAGAAATAACAGTGCCATCAGGAGGTCCACCAGTGGGGCCGGGACATTAGAAGCCCTCCCACTGTTGACCCCCCCAAGCACCAAGAAGACAGAGCATCACTTGCCCCAGAGTTCCTACCTATACCTTGTGGCTAATAGCCACTGATGGACCTCTGCTCCATATGCTTATCTAATTCCCTTTTGAAGCCGTCCATGCTTGTAGCTGCCACCACGTCCTGTGGCAGTGAATTCCTGCAAAGTCAGCAAAGCATGGGCAGAAATACCGCGGAGTCCGTTCTGATTTCTTACACAAGCTATGTCGAGATGCCAGCCTCCCAGTGGGTCAAGCAACGGATAAATAAATACTGCAAGAAACGTTTGTAAATTAATGTGTTCTGTTTGTAACTATCATTCCATAAAATGCATAATACACAATTCACTTTATAGAATGATAGTTCTAAACAGAACACATTGATTTACAAAAGTTTCTTGCAGTGTATACTTATTCGTTACTTGACTTTCCTAACACTGCAGCTCGGGTTGCTAAGGCTCCCAGTGGGGCCTGGGGGATCCCCTGGAATTCCAACTCAACTCCAGACTAAAGAGGAGGAGGAGGAGAAGAAGAGATTGGATTTATACCCCACCCTTCACTACCCAAAGGTGTCTCAGAGCGGCTTACAAGCTTCTTTTCCCTTCCCCTCCCCACAACAGACACCCTGTGAGGTAGGTGGGGCTGAGAGAGCTCTGACAGAGACTGCTCTTTTTCAAGGACAGCTCTTGTCAGAACTATGGCTTGCCCAAGGTCACCCAGCCAGGTCCAAGTGGAGGAGTGGGGAATCAAACCCGGTTCTCCCAGATTAGAGTCCGCGCACTTAACCACTACACCACTACACCAAACAGAGATCATTCCCCTGGAGAAAATGGCTGCTTTGGAGGGTGGGCTCTATGGCACTGTACCCCACTGAAGCCCCTGTCCTCCCCAGGCTCCATCCCCAAATCTCCAGGATTTTCCCAACCAGGAGATGGCAACCCTGCTCCCCACCCCCTCCGGTTGCCGGAGGGGACCTGGAATCCCTAAAACTGTGTGATGCAGGGAATTCCACGCCCAGAGCTACAAAGTATCCTGCACCGCCGCCCCCCCTCCCTTGTCTGGGACTGCAATGTGGGGTGGCAGGCAAATTTAATTTCCCCCCAACCTGAAATGAGACCCGGGAGCTATTTCCTTGCTTAGGGGAAACACAAAGGCAGTTTTGTAAGCTGTGCGCATGTTTCGTCTCTGGGACAAAAGGGTCATTTCAGATTTTGGAAAATGATTTGCGTGAGGCCACTGTCCCAACCCGAATTGACCATTAAGACACGAGCACCCTGTTGCCGAGACAGCTGGCATAATTTTAGGGTTGCTAAACAAGGGTTGACAGATCCCCAGGTCCGGGTGGGGGTTCCCCTGATTTTCAGGGTTGCAATCTGCCACCAGCCAGCTGGCCGGCGGGGGAAGCCCCACCTCCGAACAGGGACATCACCGGGTGACGTCCCCAATGTAATTACATCACCTGGAAGTGATGTCATTGCATCGCCGACGTCCAGGGGGGTGATGCTCTAGCTTTTGGGCAAACTCTATGGTTTTGAAGGCAAAAAAACTCACAGAGTTTTGCACCAAAACTAGAGTGTCACCCCCCCAATATTGGCAGTGCAATGACATCACTTCCGGGTGATGTCATCATGCCGCTTGCACTTCGCGCATGTAGCAGAAGATCTGAAGCAGGAACCAGGAGCCCCCTCCCCCCGATCTCAGGAAGGACCTGGACAGGGGTCATTTTGTAGAAAAAGAGGTGCAGGAGCTCATTTGCATAACTCATTAGCATAACTTATTTGCATATGCCACACCCCCTGACATCACCAGAAGTGTGTCAGAAGGCAACACCCACCGCTCAGGCTCCACTGGACTGTTTTGGATTGTTAGCTATTGGGGGGGATGGGAGACGTGCAGATCTGTCCTCACAGAGGAGGAAGGGCTTGTACCTGAATAAAACTTGGTCTTAAAGGTGCCACTGGACTGTTTTGGACCGGGGTGTGTGTGTTTCTGCAGCTTACCTGGCTGCTTCTTGCTCTGACTGAGGGCTGCTGGGGGAAGAGGGTGGGGCTTGTTGTATGTCCCCGCCCCCTGGGCTCTTTACTGCTGGAGCTCCGCTCCTGTGCGCTCCTGCAGGAAATGACCCCTGGACCTGGCAACCCTATGCCAAACCCAAGGTGCGCCTGGTATTTTCTCAGAATTACAACTGATCTCATGACTACAGAGATCAGTTCCTCTGGAGGAAATGGCTGCTTTGGAGCAGAGGCCCCAGCCCTTTTAGAGCCTGTGGGCACCTTCGGAATTGTGACCTGGCATGGTGGCCGCAGCCATAAAACGGCTGCTGCGGGAGGTGGAGCCAGCCACAAAACAATTGCTGCAGTTTTAACTTCAGTCACAAAGTGAGACCTTTGTGCTGCGGTGGCAGCTGCTGCCAAAGCATCATTTGAAAAACAACAACAACTGCACAGTCAATCAAATCTCCAGTAGCC